GTGTCGGAAAAACGATGGATCAAGCCGAGGATGTCCAGTTCCCCACTGCAGATCAGAGATCGAGCATCATGCGCCGTGAGCCCACACATCCGCCCTAAAGCCTGAGCATGGCCAAAACGGAGCTGGGGCAAGATCACTTCAGAGCATTCAGACTCCATCAAAACCTGAAAATCTTCGAAAGTAGGACACATCTCTTGGCCGCCAAAGCTAAAAACATGCGTCACTGGATTCCAGAACCTTGCCGCGGCATGGAGAAAAGGGAGGTGTAGCGGAGTACGGCTCAACGTGAATAGTGCATTCAAGCCGAAACCTCGGAAATTTAGCTTTTCCGAGCCATCTAGAGAAGAGATCCAAGATGCGACATTTTCTGCGAGAAACGCCTCCATCTTTGTCTAAAACTAAGTTGAAATGAATGTTCCCGAAGTTGAGGCTTTATAGAAGGAAAAACACTATTCACGGGGACACGTGTCAAAAATCTGGTGGCCGCAGGACAGAATGGCCGGCCAGCCACCTTTTCTGGCAGGCCAGCCATTTACTTTTTACAAAACAGGTCGGCCAGCTGTCTCTCTCCACAAAAAATGGCCGGCCAGCTCCCAAAGATGACCAGCAAGGCTGCAGTGTATCTCCTTGGCCCTGTTTTACTCTTTGAGGGAAGTTTCAAACATTTCCGTGCAATGGGAGAGTCAAAGGCCTTCATCTCCCTCCGTTTCGGATGAGTTCCGATGCCCAGATCGTCAGAATTACACTCTGTTGTTGTTGGATTTTGTTTATCGAGTTGTTGTTTTGCTTATCGAGTTGTTTGTCGAGCGGACGCGTTTCGTGTTTTTGAGTCATTGCTCTCTGTTTAAGCAATTTTTGTTTAAGTCTTGATTATTTGCGTTGATTAACGTTGTTGCATTTTGCTTATCGAGTTGTAAACTTCCTAAGGTCCTGTTATATCTTAGTAAGTTGCGTTGCTTAGTTTGTTGCGTCGGTTCACTACCTGACTTGGTGATTACACAATGCACATTTCCATTCAATTTCATTTTTGTGCAAAATAAATTGATGCGATACGATGCTAAAAATACAAACACCTTTTCAAAAGCTATTTCATTTCATCATGCTTTACAACAAACAAAGGTACAAGTTTTACAAAAAATAAAACTGCCTAACAATGTGCAAAGTGCTACAAACTACTAGCAAAAAGAAAAATAAAGCACATACAATCGGGGTTGCTTTTTAGTACATTCATAAAGAAAACTTGAAAATGCTAAATAAGCAATAAATTTAGGGCATAGTTGAATCAAGTATCTCAACGTCCCCTCCCAGAACTGGACGAAGCAT